AAATAAATTTACAATACCAGATCATTCCGCTAGTACATGTTATGATTATAATCCAACACCATTTTTACTAATAAAAAAGGTGTTGGATTATAATCATAACATGTACTAGCGGAATCTGGTATTGTAAATTTATTTTTTTATATGTTGCACACCGTGTGAAAAATCTGTCGTATAACATCAACGTTCTTACCTGTATATTATTGCATTAATTTTCGGAAGATGATTTTAAACAGCGATTACGTAACTGATTTTGGTGGTCATGCTAGTTCGTGGTGATAAAATTAGCTTTTTTTGATAAACATTCATTGGTAAGCGATTATGTAAATAAGTACATACGCACTTTAAAAAAATTAGAATTTGTACGTCGCTTCTTTTGAAATAAATACGTCACTTATTTATCTGAAATCGGATGTTGAATTATTAATTTTGAAACCTCAATGCATTTTCAGACACGGGAGTGTTATAAGTGCGAAAAGAATATTATTAAATTCAAAGTAATTTTGTAATGATATTTTTAAAACATGATAAGAAAATTAAATGGTAATCAGCAAATTATAAATCATGTATTTTGTATAATAAATTGAATTTTTTTTTTATACGATATATTTTTTTTATAATAAATATTTTAAAAAACTCGATGAACATTCAGAACATTGATCAAAATTTATCAACTTCCAATTTCTAATCTTAATTTCGTTTTATTCACATTAATTAGTTGGATTAATATAAAATCAGTGCATTTTTAAAATAACTACTCAAGTTTATGAATGTTTATTATTATATTGTATAATAATTTCAAAATCTTGATAAAAAAAAAACAGAAAAATATTAATCTATTTTTAAAATATGTTTAGAAATAATTAGCAAACTTTTCTGTTTAGTATTCATTCTTTCACAGTAGCTTGCTGATCAATGATTATCAATTCATTATCCCTAAAATTAAAAGTAACAAAAAGTAATCTTTATATTATCATTGGTTTTGTTTTTTAAAAAAGTATTAAACTGTATATATAATTAAAATTTAATTAAAAATAATATTATATATTTCAAAAATTTGTGGATACTTTTACGAATATTGTATTTTTTTTTGAATATTGCTGTTTATCGCCGGTGGTGATATCACCGGGGATGCTATATCTCAATAACGTACTAAGTAAATGGGATCGGGTATTCTAAGTAAAAATGTTCAGGACCCCTGAAAACCTCACGAGAACTAAAATCAGGACCTTATATCTAATCTACATTATATTATATAAAAAACTCTTATATGTCTTAAAACCGCACCCTAACCCTATACTATATAAAGGGTGTGATATCGCCACCGGTGGTAAATGCTAAAATTATTTTTTTTTCATTAATTTCAAAGCTTTACTTAATAATGTTTTTTTTAAGTACACAGTAAAAAAAAAAACCTATTATTATTATTAAACAAATAAATAAGCTCTACATTTGATTGATGAAAAGTTTTCATTTATGCTTTTTATAATAATAGGTACGTATAAGATTAAGAGAATGATTTTTGTACATCGGTTTCGTGTAGCATCACGTACATCAAGTTTTTTTGGCCAATGAAATTACAGCATTAGACACCCGAAATTTTCGAATTTTATGAATTTTTTTTAAAAAAATAGGCTGTATTTAATACGGTACCGAACAAATAAATAACACAAAATTCAAGGTATTGGTAAATAAATGGTATACATGTACTGTAAATTGGTATTATATCATTTTAACAAATTCTGATTGGTCTGTAAAACTGGTTAAATCGGTTTAATATATGAAAAATGAACCCGGTGTGACTGTTGCGTAATTTGCCGGGAAACTGATTTAGCAGGCCTATAAATTTTTCGGGCTGATCCGGGATAATCATTTGATTGGCTATTTCCATATTCAATTTTATCAGAATAATTTTCTTTAATGGTACTCTTATATCACGTACCTTGATGATAGGTTTTCCATTTTTGCCATTCATATACGTATCGCGTTTTTTATTTCTTTTATTTTATTTTTTTTGCGCGTTAATTTTTGTGATTTCTAATTTCATGTGTTAACAGCAAGCTGATTTACGTGTACATATAAATACATATGGGTGTGTTTTTATGTGTAAGTTTTTCTAGTTTCCCTAGTCTTCATAGCTTTCTTTTTTCCAAGCAACGCGATAAGAAATTTGACGCCTATTATTCTCACTGGGAAATTTCAAGCGAAAAACACTTTTTTTTTTCAAGTTAACGTGGTAAGAAACTGAGCTTATAGTTTTAGACAAATCTACTGGGAATTTTCAAACGAAAACTCATTTATTTTTCTAAGTCAGCAAAAGAAATTGAGTTTATAGTTTTGGACAAAAATTTCAAGCGAAAACTAAGAATCACTTGCTATTCACATTTTCTTAGGAAATAGAGAATCCCACACCAAGATGTCAACTATTGAAATTAAAGTCCAAAAATACTTGAACCTCGTCCCGAGCCCCTTTTGGTCCCTTGCTGGGGTGATTTCGTGTGTAGCATATAGTGACGGTTGTTTAGAAAAACGTAAAACACTTTCTGCATTTTACGCTGGTCTACGTAGCATTAAGGACAATGAAAGTTTTTCTTCTGAAGATCGTGAATGCGCCGAAGTACTTATGCAGAATAAGAAAGTAAGTTGGTTTACATTGAAATTATATCAGAAAAGCGGCTTTTTTGCGTCCCTTGAAGGAATCGTATCTCTACAAGTAACTATGGCGTTCTTATACCTTGTGGAGCTCGTTACCGCAGGGGGTGTGGAGCTCGTTACCGCAGGAGGGTGTGGCGCTGATTTTGCAAGTAGTCGAATTAGATGAACAACTGGTTGTTGGTAAAAGTCTACTGATATTTGAAAAGATAGGTTATGTGTTTGCTTTTATTTGTGAAAAAGCTGGAATTTTGTACAACCGCATCTAGCCATTCTGGTCTTTAATTTTGTGTTCTACTATCTGGATTGCGTTTTCTCACAATATAACCTTCTTTTTAAAAGGATGATATAAAGGCGGTCGGCAGATTGGTAAGTGAATTGAATTTTAGAGATCCATTGGCTGACGCAACCAATGGCAAAAGAAGATCCAGTGAATCTGATGTGGATGAGAATTCCACATCAACATCAGCTAAAAGAAGAAATTCCGCCGAACCCGGTAAGATAATATTTGGCATCTGGTTTTTTTTTTCAATTATTATAAATGCACCTATGGTGTTTAGCACCATATATAATTGTTTTTAATAAAATTTAGGGTTAGGGTGCATTTTTATGAATTTATATATATATATATATTATAATATATATTAGATATAAGGTCCTAATTTTAGTTCTCGTGAGGTTTTTTGGGATCCTGAACATTTTTACTTAGAATACCCAATCCCATTTACTTAGTACGTTTTTGAGAAATAGGGAGCTATGGTGTTGAACACCATAGGTGCATTTTAGTAAACTTGTTTTTTTCGTAATATTTAATTTTACTCAAATATATCAATTTGTATTGATTTATTACAGTAATAGCCCTTAGCCAAGAACAGGCTCTGTCCTACATTCCGCCGCCCGTAACGTATCCGGAGGATACTAGTGAGTCTCGAACGACTCGGAATGTAGGCGGCCTAATCCCAACTAACGTGGCTACCTGGGAAAACTTTTTTGACATGGCAAATCAATATAGATTTGACCATGTCCTAAACGTCGACGAGCCGAATTTCACTAAGAATATTGCGATACGGATAGAGGATGACAGTTATGTCGCAATAACTGTCAATATATTCTTAGTGCTTAACAATCTTTTGGGAGGAAATTTTGTTTTTTCAAAACAAAAACCTTCCGATTTTTCGAATAACGGAAGACCAGATGCCACTTGTCGGTATAATGACAGAATAATTATACCGATTGAGTTTAAAAGGCAACTGGTCTTGACCTTAAACGACGACGGCCAGTTGGATTATCTTTCAGAGGTCAAAACGAAAGATACAATTAACCAAATTTATACGTATATGGCTGAGTTAGGACTTCAGTACGGAATCCTCTCAACCTACGAAAATCACTGGTTTTTGTGTCGGCCGAAGGATAATCCGACTGAACTCAAAATTTCACCAACCTTATCTCTTGATTCGACTTGCCCATCTACGTTGAAGGCGTACGCGTTTCTGGCTCATCTTGCAAAAGATGAGCCAGAATCAATACATCCATTCATCCTTACCGAAAAAAGGAGAAGGTAAGATTTTTCGAAATATAGATCTTATTTTATTTTATTTTTATTTATTTTGATTTATATCTTTTAGCGCATATGCGCTATAAAGCCTCCACATGATCAGCCAATCACATGAGATTGACGATCTAAATAAATTTTTCTTTTTTAATTTTGAAAAAATATATATGTTGCCGATTTTTTTTTTTTAATTGATTTTTTTTTCGCTTTTAGCTTAACGTGTTTAACATTCCTTTTTTTATTTCAGGTAACAGGATTTCGTAGTTCCTGGTGTCGTAGTTCCTGGTGTCGTTCCTTGTGTAGTTATTTTGGTAGAATCGTACCGGTGTCGTCGTAATAATTTCGTCGTTTCTGGTGTCGTTGTTCCTGTTGCCGTAACGGGATTTCGTGGTTATTGTGCCGTGGTCGGTTCTGGTGTCGTCGTTCCTGCTGTCGTGACGGGATTTCGTGTTACTGTTTCTGGTGTCGTTGTTCCTGTTGTCATAACAGGATTTTGTGTTACTGTTTCTGGCGCCGTTGTTCCTGTTGTCAACGGGATTTCGTGGTTACTGTTTCTGGTGTCGTCGTTCCTGTTGTCGTAACGGGATTTCGTTATTACTATGCCGTCGTCGTTTCTGGTGTCGCGTTCCTGTTACTGTTTTTGGTGCCGTTGTTCCTGTTGTCATAACGGGATTTCGTAGTTACCGTACCGTCGTCGTTCCTGTTGTCGTAACGGGATTTCGTTGTTACTGTGCCGTCGTCGTTTCTGGTGTCGCGTTCCTGTTGTCGTAACAGGATTTCGAAGTTACCGTGCCGTCGTCGTTTCTGGTGTTGCGTTCTGTTGTCGTAACGGGATTTCGTTGTTACTTGCCGTCGTCGTTTTTGGTGTCGTTTTTCCTGTTGTCGTAACGGGATTTCGTTGTTACTTGCCGTCGTCGTTTTTGGTATCGTTGTTCCTGTTGTCGTAACGGGATTTCGTTGTTACTGTGCCGTCGTCGTTTTTGGTGTCGCGTTTCTGTTGTGTAACGGATTTCGTTGTTACTGTTTTTGGTGTCGTTGTTTCTGTTGTCGTAACGGGATTTCGTGGTTATTGTGCCGTCGTCGTTTCTGGTGTCGTCGTTCCTGTTGTCGTAACGGGATTTCGTGTTACTGTTTCTGGTGTCGTTGTTCCTGTTGTCATAACGGGATTTTGTGTTACTGTTTCTGGTGCCGTTGTTCCTGTTGTTATAATGGGATTTCGTGGTTACTGTTTTTGGTGTCGTCGTTCCTGTTGTCGTTACGGGATTTCGTGGTTACTGTGCCGTCGTCGTTTTTGGTGTCGCGTTCCTGTTGTCGTAACAGGATTTCGTTGTTACTGTTTCTGGTGTCGTTCCTGTTGTTGTTATGGGATTTCATGGTCACTGTGCCGTCGTCGTTTCTGGTTTTGCGTTCCTGTTGTCGTAACGGGATTTCGTTGTTACTGTGCCGTCGTTGTTTCTGGTGTCGCGTTCCTGTTGTCGTGACGGGATTTCGTTGTTACTGTGCCGTCGTCGTTTCTGGTGTCGTGATAAGATTTTGTCGTTACTGGTGTTGTCGTTCCTGCAGTACTCGTGTTGTCGTATATGAAGCTCAAGAACAACAACTATTGGAAATGCCGAAGGACAGTCTATCGTTCAACAAGTGAAGAAATACCGTGGTCAAATACATAATGGTTAATGTGTTAAAGCTACGCAAGAAGGATTGATAGCAGCTATACACCAATTAGAATTCAAGTGCGCACAAAAAAGAAAAGAACAACGACTTGTAGGCAAAGTTCTTGTAGATCCGCAAAATAGACCTCTTGTTTTCTTGGCCTCATATAGTTCTAATATTTCACTTCGTTGGCAACAAGGAAAATTTATAGGTGATGGTACCTTTGGTTCGGTATACATGGCAGTAAATTTGGATACTGGAAATCTTATAGCCGTTAAAGAGATCCGATTTCATTATCCTTCACTTACCAAACTTTATAAACAAGTTAAGGATGAAAATGTCTGTTATGGAAATGCTCAATCATCCTAATATTGAATATTATTATGGTATTGAAGTGCATAGAGATAGAGTTTACATATTTATGGAATATTGCTCAGGTGGATCTCTGGCATCTCAACTCGAACATGGGCGTATTGAAAATAAGAAAGTAGTACAATACGTATTATGCGTATCAAATGTCTGAAGGATTAGTCTATTTACACAAAAATAACATAGTACGTAGAGATATAAAACCAGATAGTAAGTTTTATTTTATTTAAATATATATATATATTTAAAGTTAGCCATCTAAAATTTTATCTTTTGATTGCAAAGGTATATTATTAGATCATATAGGAACCATTAGATTTGTTGATTTTGGTGCTGCGAAGATTCTCGCCAAGAATCAAGGGACTATGAGTGCAGGAACTAAGACAGTCAATAGTTTAATGGTACACCTATGTATATCGAATAATATATTTCTTATATTTTGAATAGTGTTTGTAGTCGACACAGATTTGTCGAGTCGACTAAGCTGATATTTAAGAATCGAGTCGCTTAACGGATTTCGTGGTTACTGTGCCGTCGTTCTGGTGTCATCGTTATCGGTGTCGTCGTTACCGGTGTCGTCGTTCCTGTCGTACTGTTATTGTAACGGAATTTTGTGGTTCTTGGTAGTTCTGCGATTTTTTCTTCTATGGCGTTTATTACTCCGTGACGTTTTTTGGTTCTATAGTGTTTTTTTGTTCTTAAGGCATTGCATTGGATAAGTATTAGTAGTATTATTATGTATTTTATTTTTTCAGGTATTGTTTTTTATTTTTTATTTTTTCAGGTATTGTTTTTTTTTTTATTTTTTTTTACTTAGGTTCTGCGTTGTTTTTTTTTAAGGTATTGTTAAATTTTTATTTAGAGATTTTAGATTCTGCGTTGCTCTTTTTTTTTTGGTTTTTCTTTTACTACAGTAATTAACAGATAAAGTGTTTTTAGCTGTTTATATTTGAGAGATAAAATTCAGATTAGGTTGGAGTTAGGTAATGAAACCGTTTTTGCCAAATCCGAAAGTTTTAGGTTTTGGATTTTATAGTTTCTGAAACTTTATCCGAAGCTGTTAAATTTTTAATACGATCAGGTTAATATGCTAGAAGTGGGGTGGTTAGTCAACTAATTAAATCAAATCTATATGTTGACCCATAATTAATTAATCAGGCCAATTTTTTTAATATGAACTAGGTGCTTGAGTTGCTTAAAGTGAGTTAGAGATGAGCGTATTATATCTGATATTGAAATATACAGTGCAAGGACCTCATGTTGTGATTAGGCTCCATGGTTGTGATAGCAATACAAGGACCTCTTTTTATAATCAAGCTCTATGGCTGTCGCAGGCAATGCAAGGACCTTATGTTTGGTGATTGAGCTCCCCTATAAAAAAAAGTCAACAGAATATGCTCATCTTTTAAACTAATAATCTGAACAAAATTTGAATAGAATTTTAATTTTTTTCTTTTATAGGGTCCACAACTGTGATAACAATACCAAGATCTTACATTTGATTAGGCTCCATTGTGCAGTAGCAATTCAAGGACTTATGTTGTAATTAGGCTCTATAATTGCCACGAGCAGTGAAAAACCTCATGTTTAGTGATTAAGCACTGCAACTACAATAAACACGATAAACTTATAAGAACACGTCATCTAATTGTGAAAACATAGCTATAATCAGGAATGATCTGAAATTATATTAATTGGAAAATCATATATTTTTAGTACATATATACGTACATAATTTAAAATAAGTTTACATAGTAAATGTACATATCTAACTATAGATCAAAAGTGAACGAACTTCAAAAAATCTTATAAATACAACCCGAATACGATAAAAAATTTTTGGGAGCTTGCGTATATAGCTTTATATAGAGCATATAGCACATATAGCTCTATATAGAGCATATAGCGCATATAGCTCTATATAGAGCATATAGCGCATATAGCTCTATATAGAGCATATAGCGCATATCGATATAGCTCTATATAGAGCATATAGCGTATATAGCTCTATATAGTGCATATAGTGCTATATAGCGCTATAACGATAAAGGCAGAAAGGAGATCTAAACTTATATGGAAATAATCTATGACGCACGGGCAAAAAAGATTGAAGGGGTTAATATATTGTTACACAAATGAATATCACCTTTCATTAGGAATTTATTATACGAAAGTGATAGATTTTTGAAATCTAACTCCTCTTGCAGAATTAATTCTTCGAACTTAAGAATAATATGAAATAGATTAAAAAAGCATGCTTTATAATTGCCATGAGGAATTTTCTTATTGCATTTAAAATTTTGATAATTTATAGATATTTATATAATTTAAATATATGAAAATACTTTTGCAGCCTATATTGCCATCGCACTACCTTATATTAAATATTGGTGTAACGTGTAAATCAAATTTAATTCTTTTGATATTAGATAAGGGTAAAGACTAGAGGTTAGGGTTAGATGTGACTTATAGTAAAATTTCGGGAGGAATTTTTTTTGTTAAAGCCCAAAAGGTAGTTTCATAGACAAAATTTTGAGCTTTAATCAATTTTTAAAAATCTTTTGTTTTGTTACACAAAGCCACTTTTCACGTTACACCTGATCTTAAGTTTAATTT